GAAAATACATAATACATTGAATGTGAACATGAGGAAGCTTCCTAGCAACATCCACTTCCAAAGTATGGGGTAACACTCATTGAATCTTGTCTCCAAAGTGGGATAAAATTCAGGGATGGGGCTGGGGTTGTGGGGGTTTTGAGCTTTGGTTTGTAGTGGTTGGTTCCTGGGTTTTAAGGCTATTATTTGGGTAAAAATGAGGGGTTGTGTTGGGCCAATAAAAGGGGACAGGGCTGGGCAATATTAGGGGTGGTTTTGGACCTATGGGTTTGGGTTATTTGTGGGGGAACATGGGCAGGGATTAGTGGTTTGTGGTGGGTCAGGATTTTGGCTCTTTTTGGGTGTTGTGTTGGGGTTGTGAATTGTATTTTGTCCAGGCCTCCAGGGGATGAATGGAATAAAGGGAGGGTTTTATTTGTTTAATAAAAAGCTTAAAAGAAGGAAAACAACAACAAACAAAAGGTTTTATTTTACACACTCTTATTTTCTGCCAGGGCTAAAATGAGAGTAGGAAAAGCTTTATTTTGAAATGAATTAAATGGCAAGGAGTTTTGGATGCTTAGGGCTGGGTTGGACGGAGTGGGATTTGGTCTGCAGAAACCTTGGGTCCGAAGTTATTCAGGCCTCTCGGGTTGAAGGACGTGGAATTCTCACTAAAACGGATCATAATGTTTGAACGTAAGTCCTTTGGTTTTTACAAGGGTGTAGGACATGGGGGAGGGTATGATAGGGCCAGGACCGGGTATAACACATGCTTATAGCTTATTTTGTCTTTTTAAATGTGTGTCTATATTGTTGCTGGTTTAGTCAAATTTATATCCTATAGAATGAAAAGTTTACACAGACGTGCTCGGGCATGTTTGCACGGTGGGAAAAGTATTGGCGAAGAAAATTATTGGCCTCAAGTGTGTGCCTCATGCTAGAGCTTCAAGATTTAAGGTGTGCCTCTTCCTTTTCTCTTTAATCATGGCATACTTTGATTTCTATTGTGTTGATTTTAGGCTAAATTTCATGGCTAGGGCATGAATAGATGAAACATATATACTCAAATTAGTAAAGAAAGGGCTAAATTTCATGATACAGTCACTGATTAACCCAGTTTGTCACCCACAAATCTTCGTGTCGTAGGAATTGGCTTACATAACAATTTCATTTAAAAAAACATGAATCTAATTTATCTTTTCATTTCTTTTTGAAGACGTGAAAATGATTTATGCACCATACTTCCACGGTTGATTGATGTAAATCTCTAGTGGGCCTTTGGCTATAACATTGTGGTTGTTTAATTTCTTTAAAATCATCACATCCTAATTCATAGCCATTCAAGTTTGGTAATTGCCTTTATTTTTGGGATTACCCTTATCCATTTGGCCCATTCCTAAATTCAATGTGTTGACCCTCTAAGTGGCTACACAAAAACTTCATGTGAGATAGTCTCAAAACTTTTACTGTAAAATCTATCACTTATGTTCTCAAAATAATACTAACAATAAGGTTGTAGAAATTTTCCCCTACCTCTTTATCTGCAACCTTAATTTTGTTCGATTTTATTTTAAAGTTAAAAGTACTAAATATTTTCATTGCATGACCTTATTTATATCTTAAAAGTTCAACGATTATAATATTCATTATATACGATATAATGCGCTTTGAGTGCCCAATTGTTTAGAACTAAAAGCATCTCTTATGCAGCCAGAGTAGTTTTAAGCTCTTTTACACTCTATACATTCCAAAATGTCTCTATAGCTATAAACATGTCTATGAACTCTTTAGTGAAGCTTAACATCACCTACAAGTTTACAATTTTTTCTAATCGGGGGACAAGTTGTTGCAAATTGATGGGTGCTACTACAAAAAAAGAGGAAAAAATTGCAGGTATTTTTCATGGATCCTTTTCTTTCTTTCTTTTTGCATTTTTTTAATTTCAATTTCATATTGATACTCTGAGACTACGAGAATCTATTTTCACATCGCAAAGGTGTTTGACACGATAAAAGGAAGAGGTGCATTGATTTGTTTTAATCCATTTAATACACCACTTATTACCTAGATATTAAACTTTCATTTTAATCCGTTCTGATCACATATCTAGTTTGGTCTGTTTAAGCTTCAAATACTTCAGTTGAATTTTTGTTATTACTTTACTTTGATCTTAAAACCTAATATTTGGTTTTCAAACACGGGTAACCTACAGCTGCAATATAGGAGTGTAAAGCTCAACTAGGCTGTGAGTTGTTGCAAATTGATGGGTATACTGTAAAAAGCAGAGGAAAAAATCACAGATTTTTTCATGCATCTTTTTCTTCCTTTTTGCATTTTTTTCATTTCAATTTCATATTGCCACAGAATCCTTAAAATGTGTGTAACTATGAATCGATGGGTGATACTGCAAAAAGCAGAGGGAAAAATTGCAGGTATTTTTCATGCATCTTTTTCTCTCATAAGAAGACAAAGTCAAATTATTTTTTGCAATGCTAAACTTAAATGTTCTATTGAAAAATAATGCACATGCCTTCAACAACATATTCATTATTTTCACTCCCATTTTTTTTGCACAACTGGGTTGTTCCATTGAGGGGTCGGGAGCATATTTTCTATACAAAGAATTGAGGTTGGTGAATTTAATTCGCTTATTGATTAAATAATTGATTTGGTAGAAGCATCTATGTTATACTGACCGAATGATGAAACATCTTCCCACCTGCAAATTTATTAGCCCATATTTGATATTTCAAGAAAATGCTCCAGAACTCTAAAGCCGGGAGTTCATAATAGAAGAATTATAATTCAAAATAAGTTGCCTTAAAAAAATTTGGTCTACATGAGATTCTTTGTTAAGTACATTTACCAATGGGCTAATCAAAGAAAAAGAAGAAGATACACTTGATCAGTGGTAATTATTTGTGTTTTTTCATTTTCAAAACTGAATTCTAGCTTTTAAATGAATTTACTCTCATATATTACATGTACTTATGAAGAAATTGAAGTTAGTTTTGTTGAAAAACATTATTATTCTAAACCCAACTCAAGGCTGAAATGTTTGTGTTCAAACCCAATCATATGGTTTTACAATCTATGAATACAGATCTTTATTAGTGTTGGGATTTAGCTGTCAAATATCATTTGGTTTACTATATATAATTACATATTGAACAGGTGAAAAAAGAAAGCTTGATATTTTGCTAACAAGGTCTACCTGTAAAAGTTTAATTAGGTTTGGCTGTGCAACTTCTATTTGTAGTTTGATTCTGTTTCTGTTTGCTTCGAAGAGTCTTAGATTTGGCTAAATTATTGGTGATGAAGTTGGAGGATGTATATACAACTGCTGTTTCCTACACCTAGATTCCAAAATTTATACTCAAATTTTGACCTGGTTGTCCTTTGTTGAAACTACACTTGAGTTTAATAAGTTTGAATATTGGTAATGATGTTTTTTTTTGGTTTGTTTGGCTATTGGATGGCAGATTTTGCTTTAATCGTTATTTTTGATTGAGATAATTGGTGGTGTCGTGTTGTAGTCGTTGCAGCATGAGAGCTTGGAGTTTGGTTA